ATTGTCCTTCATGAAACATTTCTAATTGCGTTATCATAAAACGATCTGCTTGACAATCAAGAAAAGAAAAATAACAATGATTACTTGCGGTATCGAGTTAAATAACTTCATAATGTTTTGCTTTCCTGCGATCCGATCTTCTTTCAAATTTTTTGCTCTAATTTATGTCATTTGGGAGTAGCTAAAATCATCAATGATCTAATGTTGTGTTGTAATATGAGGTGAAAATTATGATCCTAATTTCTAACATGTAAGACAGTTACACTTGATAACTTTTCAAATATATTTTCATTGATTTTTTGGATTAAGAAAACATTTCATCCATTTCATTTCTTCATTTCAAAGTCGGACGAAAGAAGGATTTATAAGTGTTCATGGTAACCAAAGAATTGTTGTGTGAATTTAAATTTCCTTTAAATATTTCAAGCCTCACCGACTCTGCTCTCATTCATTCCAGCATCCATCCTTCTCATTTCCTGCTGCAATGTCCGTCTGCAAACAGCGACACTTATAATTCACGTATCATTTCTCTCACTAAATCTTCATAAAAATACAACAAAATCTGCTGAATAAATTCTTGAACAGTCAGTTATTTTCGTCCTTTCCTCACATCCGTTCTTAAATGTTTCCATTTCTCCGCCTTTCATTTATTGATGTCCAATGTTCAATGTTCTCGTCCGTATCGGCCTTCTCACGTGTTCCTATCTCTTCCAGTCCTTCCCTCCCACTTGTCATATTTTTTTGTACGTAACTTCTCCTACCTACTCCCGGCGGTTATTTGATGTTAGCGATAGCTAAGATTAGAATAAGTCTAGAGGCTTAAATAAGCATAGAGTTCCCCAAGTTCATTATGTTGATACAGGTAACTGTAATTCTGATTAAATTATGAAATAAAATCACATGGCACCAAATTTTATGCCAATTTTTTCCCCCGTGAGGGGTTGATGTTTATTTAGCCTTAAATATTTTTCATATCATGTTTTTAAAAAAAATTTGTCAAATTTACGATGTTGAAATTATTGAGATTTTGTCAAATGCAGGAAAAATATGTATAGGTCCCTGTGGGAAATAACTAGTTAAGATTCATGGATAATAACACTAAGATCAAACTTTCCATCTCTCTCTGATTTGATGTTTGTTATTTAGGCATTCTAATATATATATATATATATATATATATATATGACAATATCCAGTGAGATATTTCCGGTAAACACTCCTTGGGAAAAAGGTTAATATCGGAAATGGGAGGAAAATCTTTCAGAATTTAAGAAGATTCTTTTCATTGAAGAACAATTTTGTGAACTGATCTCAACTGAATATTAGCTGTAATTTATTTGGATTGCTTGATTTAAATATCTTTAAATAGGTGAATGTTATTTTGATGGTTTGAACAAAATTCAAATCAAAATCATTTTAATTTAGTTTATTAAAATTTATGTCTTCACATTATCCTATCCGTTTTTATTTTTCTCTCACTGCTAGCAAAACTTCATAAAATTTTTAAATTGAAGAGTAACATTGAAGCGTTGTTTTGCATATCATCAAAGTTCAAGTGATTAAAGTAACATATATAGAATTTATCATCATTTCTGTTACCTTCTTTTTTTCCCTTTATATCTTACCCCTTATCTACACCTGCTATCTGATAATTTTTGATAAAATGCTATCTACAACTAACTGATCACTGTATCATAGATGATAGTCTGATTAATTTTGCGACAAAAGCTGTTTATTAGTGAGATCAAAAAAATGCAAATTGGTCGTGCTTATTTGCAAAAGAACGTAAGAGGAAACGACTTGTTTGCATAATGATCATTTCTATACAACGTAGACATACACATACGCATACATACACATACATACATATACACATACATACACATACACATACATATACACATACACATACACATATACCATACACATACACATACACATATACCATACACATACACATACACCATTCACATACATGCGCATACACATATGCAAAATATAAATACACACATACACACATACGTACACATACACATACACATATATACACATACATGTACATACACATACCCATACATATACACATACATACACATACACGTACATACACATCCATACATATTCATTCATTCATTCATTCATTCATATTGCAGATAGCCTTTTGCTGTTGAGTCATGCTCGTTGAGGGCGGTTATGCCCTCTTTGCTTTTTCATTAGGGCCATTTAGTTTAGTTAGTATGTTATGCTTCTTTAATCGTACTGCGCTGTATATTTCTTGCACGGGTCGATTTTATTTCCTTTTCTTATCATTGATAGGCTATTTCCTGATCTGTTACCTTTTTCATACTTCCTATCAATAAATATCATTTATTTAAAAAATTAATTTCATCATCAATAAATTTGTCATCAAAAATAATTAACCCTTTTTTTTTCTCCTTTAATCAATTAACTTTTAAATTCAAATTCTCTATAGACAAGCAAATAAATATCAAACAAAAAAAACAATGAAATTGGCATAATTTCAATTTTTACCTTTCTCTTTCCAAACTAAAATTAAACATCAAAGCCATTTTAAATGCAATTCATTGGTCAACATTTACCATCAATTCTTCCCTTTTTATCTTTTTCTTTTTAACTTTTTGATTGATTAGAAGCTATTTCAAAAGGGAATGTTTTTAATAGCTTTGTATTTAGTTTTCAATCACAATCATACATACATAACATTATATATATATATGATCGATAATACTTAAAAGAATCTTTATGAATTATTTCATATGTCGAAAAAAAAACAAATCAGTTTTAGAAGAAATTTTGCAGGAGTAGTTTTTCATAGTTAATCCTTGTTTTGGTTAGCATTTAGTTATTCTTTGTGGGAATAAGAATTAAGTTAGCAATAGTTATTTTTTTGAGAGAATAGATTGTATTGATCAATTTCCGTTTCCTCATTATCTATAATGATACGTTGATATTACATGATAGCAAATTGGTACTAATTTATCGCTTACTTACCTATTACCTATTTCTTTAATTTCACTAGTAAATAGAGTCCTATATTTATTAACGGTAATATAAGGGACCAGCTATTCAAATTATATTTAATATGGAAATGATTTATATATGTTTGTTCGCGTATTTTATACACGTAAAAATTTTTCATGCATATTAAATTTTGTTGCAATGTGTGAGTTATCTCTGTTATTTATAGTTATCAATTATTTCCCAAAAGTCAATCAGATAGAAGCAAGCAGTGTTATTTATCCTAAGTGTGGGAAAATAATTTATTTAAATTTACTAATGGGTTTATTTGACATTGATCGTTTTTTTTGATGGTATTTATGGGGAGTAGTTACAAGGAAGTACGAGAATTTTTACCATCTGGTAAAAGAAGAAAAAGTACATTACACTCTTACATGTCTTTATAAAGTAGTGAAGCATTCTCAACTTCATAGTTGATCCTCAGAAATTTTAATGAGTACTATCATAATATCCGTTGCTAATAAACATCAACCAATCCGGCAACGGTGATCGAAATATTCGTATCATCATTTTGATATCGTTCATTCAAAACCGGCTGCTGTATACCATACCATCATTTGTTTCGATCGATGATATAAATCATCAATGGACGACCACATGTTGTGATGAAGAATTGGAATAGAATAGAAACGAACATGATAAGTAGTGGGAAGAGAGGAAGTGGAAGAGCATGAGAAGGTATAGGTCGGATGATCATCTGTGAATGGCAAACACAAATGAATACAAGAAATGAAATTTTGAAGAGCTGACTGAACAAATGTTTGAAAATTTTGAAGTGCTGTTGTTGTTTTTGTTTTTGTTGTTGTTGTTGTTGTTGTTGTTGGTTGAGGAGCAACAATGATGTTTTTTCCCTGTGCATCATCTTATCCATCATCATAGCGCATCTCTTTTGACATCACTTTTCCTATAATTTTGAATACTTATACCATTATATAATATTCATTTGATAGAATACTATAACGGTAAGATGTTCATTGTGAAATTTTATCAGAAAAAAATGGTACACAATCAAAAATTCTAACTCATTGAAGTTTGTATTGAAGTTATCTCTGTATTGTATTAAATTTATTTCTGTATTAAAGTTTTATATACTAACTTTATATATATCACATTTAATCAATATTTTTTTGTGTTTTAAAAAAAAGTTGAAAATGCTCAAAATTAGTTACAAAATTATTCAATCTAACTGAAAATATGTCACATTCAGTCGATAAGATTTATCACGATCAATACGTATTGAATAATTTTATAATTTGCGAATAATTGCTTCAATCGATTCCATCTTTATAAAAATATCTCATCCGGAAAGGTAATTAAGATCACCAATAGAATGGTAACAAATATAAAAAAAACCCAATAATCTTTGTTTTAACATACAACTCTTTCATGCAGTCAGGCAATACCGTTGCATTTCTAACTTTAATATTTCAGCTGCAACGAAACTAAGCACCTTCCCCTATGTTATTCTCTGCTGTATCTGGCAGTATATAATTCTTCACATGTTTACTTACATTTTAGTTTTCATGATATCACGAGATATCATTTTGCTACCTCCTGTTATTGAAAGAGACCTATCGAGTGATCTGGAAGTTTGATTCGTTCATCTATCCGCAAACTTGACCAATTTTTTCTCCTACAATTTTAGCTCATAAATATGGCGGACTCTCGAATATGTTCTCTTTCGAGCTTACAATGCTTGTCAAAAAGTGATTATGAATATTCAATGTAGCGTGAGATATGTTTCATATCATTTGTCCAACTGCGAAACACTTCGCAGTTGTCGCTTTCTTTTATAGAGTTTTGGGAGAGGAAAAGAGTAATTCTTTTAAATTTCGGAGAAATGAACGACTTGAAGAAGTTCAAAGTAAACTTACCGACTAAAAGATGCATTTACAGGAAAAAGTGGTGATATATAGTCCAAGCAGCTAGCCTTGTTTACCGCTGCTTAATCTAATGTAAACATGGCTACCGTTCCAGATGGATCACTCATTCAGAAATTATCTCCACCTGCTACCGTAGATTTGCAGGGTGGAACTTTGCTGGATGTAAAAGAGGTTACTTCTATACTGTTAAATATATGTTGAACAAAGGGTCTACTGAATTTTGAGGGTTAGTTGACACGTTTGGGCGGTTTCTGACAATTTCAGAATGTTTGCAGTTCGATGAAGTTGACGAAACAGATGGTTGTAAGGTACACGTCACCGAGTATCACATTCTCTCGGCAGATGGTCAGGAGGAAATGACGAAAACATGCCGAAGAAAATTAAAAATTGAATGCAATCAAAGTACCAGGAAAACCGAAATTGCTAATGGTGAGTGCAAATGGATCAGCCGCTTGTTTTACATCAGTTATGTATTTAAGTTAGCAATAACAGTAGTTTTGAACAGTATTTGCAATAAACTTGGTGGAAACGGTCGCATTTTTCAATGCTCTGAAATTTGAGCATTGTGTTTTTAGGTCGGGAAGCTTTGATCGAAGAAAAAACAGAACGATTGTTTGGTGATATCGATGGTTTCCGACAGCCAATAGTCCTCGTTGATAGATCTAAGGCTCTTATGGATTTTTCTAATCCTGAGGTGTTCCCGCATAGTTAGCAGGAAAAAAATCTAAATTCACAATTTATTTGAAAAATTATAGTTGAAAAAGCAAAGTGAAAGTTGGGTTTTCAGGATTCAGCAATTAGTGCCGTACTGCAAAAGACACAGGAAAAATTTCTTAGCATGTTAAATGAGCAGAAAGACCAGCTTATAAATAAATTTCCTGAACTGTTTTCTGAAATGAGAACAAGTTCATCACTTTCGGATACACCACAAACTGAAGTTGAAACGGTTGTTAACCCAGATGGTAGTACAACAACGCGAATGCGCTCTTCCCGTGCCTACAGGTTCATTTGAACATTCCTAATGGATTAACCCTTTGATTAAGAGCTGTGCTATGTTTTCGAAGAAATAGTTATTTCTTCATGTGAAGATATATAACATTACAGGCCTAAAGTTTTATTAAAGGGATTCAAATGTTTATAAGTTTCAAATTTAAGTTTAAAATTTCTGAAACTCGGACTTTAATGAATATCAAATAGCATAGTGGGTAAAAGAACCATATTTTGGAACAAAAATGACCACTTCATTAGTTTGTTTTTGGAAATTTGGAGGAAATTGTAAACACTTCACTTCCCGAAAAAAACGAAGTTTCTTGCCAAAAAAAACGAATAATGCTTCAATGTAATGCATTAAATAGTAATAAAAATAGTGTTCATTTTGTTACGATTTTAAATTCAGTTTTCAGTTTTGATAGAATCCCTCATTTGCAGTACTCGTTTTTCAAAGCATGAAATGTACATAAATGGCGTGAAACAAGAATCGAAGAGCAAATTCAGAGCTTTCATGGAGTATAAAGGTGTGTTTCATTTTTGTATAATGTAAAAATTAGATTTTACCTTGATTCGAATCTTTAAATATCCTTAGATTTCTTATTATGGAAGTGATCTTCATTTACTGCCTAATTATTCTTTATAATTAGTAATTTTCATTTTCTTCCAGGTCCAGATGGCGGTTTCAAGGTGAAACTACGTGATACTTCTGGGGATGATGACCTATCGGAAGAAGAAGCAGATGACATCAACTATGATGTTGTCGCGGATGCAGAATCACAAATCTCAGAAATCCCGGACACGCAGTCTGTGTTGATCTCAGGAGGGAGCTTAAATCGGGTACCGGCAATGAAAGAGAAAACCATGAAACGTACCGAAAAAGCCTGGCTTGCCGCCAAAGAATTGGTTGATTCGGAACAGCGATATGTTGACAAACTTCGTCTACTTGATGAAGTATAATTTAAACACCTAATATGCTAATATGTTCAATTTTAATAATTAAACTGTGAGTAAATCTCTCAGAGGAACAATAATTCTAAACGTAGTTCATCAACCTTATAAGTGAAAATGATGCAACAGAAAATGTTATATTCTGTTATATCAATCTACTTTTCAATCTTTTTGCAGACATTCCGGAAAAAAATTGATGATGAGAAAATCCTTGAAAGAGATCGAATAACGCAGCTATTTGCAAACATATCCAGTTTGCATCAATTTCACAACACGCACTTATTGCCTGCATTGATGGAAAGTTCACGAGATTGGCATACTACACACAGGTGTGAAACAATTCGTTTATTGCTGCATTCATTTCAAGAAAGCAAATTGTATTACGACTGGTCTGATTTCATAAAATAGTCCAAATAAATGTTTTAAATATGCAAAACTGCTATCCAAAGATTAAGATAAGGTTTGTGAATTTGTAAGGCAATGTCGTTTATGCATTGTACATGAATATCTATGTCTTTTCCTGTATTTTTTTAAAGAATCAGCGATGTTCTTCGCAAACGTGCACCTTTCCTGAAGATGTATTCCGAATACACAAACAATTACAAACGAGCGACCAAAGTTTTCAACGATTGTTTGCGCAAAAAGCGACGTTTTGCGCAAGTTGTTCACGAAATTGAGGTTCTTGGTTATAAAAAGATCCCGCTAGCTGCAGGATATTAACTTTAAGTGCAAACTGTCATTACTCTTGGCAACATCTAGTTTTCAAAAAAAAAAGTGCAAGGAAGACTTACATGACGATTCAGATGTTCAATTTATTTTATTCACCTATTTGCAGATGAAACCGGAATGTGAAAATTTACCTCTGGTTTCACATTTGATATGTCCAGTACAGCGTGTCATGCGCTATCAGCTATTATTGCAGGTAATCGGTTTTCAGGCTATTTACTCTATTAGTGATAGTTCATGTTGAAGTCAACACTCTATTTTTATTCTGTTGTCCGGCAATTTCTCTATTTTTAAAATAAATATATAGAAAATATTCTATTTAAAGAAATGATGATAAGAAAAATCGTTTGAAATGTTGCTTTTTTTTAAGGAATACAAGAAGCATCTGGATCCTTCAGATGTTGATTACGACGATACAGTAGCTGCTCTAGAATTGGTACTTGATGCAGCAAGTCATGCAAATGAGATGATGCGAAAATTGGTATGTGTAAATGATGACTGCGTTTATGTTATGATAATTTAATTAGAATTTAAAATTATTAATGCTCACTTTTAGGACCGCTACAAGAATGTGCTAGAAGTTCAAGAACAAGTAGGCAGTGCAATATCGTTGGTGTCGCCAGGTCGCGAATTAGTCCGAAAGGGAAAGTTGATAAAGGTAGATAATTTTTAATAGCCCTTCAGAGGAGAAATTTGTCATGTTTCAGAATTTATTATTCCACGCAATAACTTTAGATCGATTATGTAAGTAAATGTGAAGGTAGAGCTATTCAGGAAAAGATATAACTATTATTTTGAAGATATTGTCGTCGTCAGAAAAGACTGAAGAACGGCATTTGTTTCTTTTCAACGATTTATTACTTCTTGCTTCCGAAAGGACATTGCCTGGTTTTGCTAAACTTAAAGTTCGAGCAATATTCGACGCGACATTAGCACAGGTCTATTTTGTTACCGTTTTATTTCCAATGTTTAAAAATATTCATTTCGGTTGGTCGTTCAATAAGTTGACTAATGATTAATTATAATGCATTTTAAATACATTTAGACCTCTGAGGACGAGTTATATAACAAGTATATGGTACCATCACATCATATGAATAGTAAATATAAACTCTATGTTGAACTGAGAAAGATTTAGCCGACAAAAAATTTGCGATTCCTGTAAATCGAGGAGTTGCACTTTGCTAATCGGGGACGAGTACTGCTGAGGATAGATGAAGATAGCATTTTAAATTTTCAGGCGTTACGACAGTTTTGAAAAAACAGTATTGGAGAAAGTTTTCTTACCTTCCTTACTCTTTTTGAAAGCATCGGTGGATTTATTTCAGATTTGTGAAGGTGATAACCTTGAGCGAGAAAATTCGTTCTATGTGCGCGGTTCCGACTCGCCAACTAGTCCATCTCGGTAAATTTTTTAAACTAAATTTCTCCTAGCATTACTAAGACATTATTAAAATATAAAACATTACTAAAATTTTGATATTTCGTCATATCTTTTGATTACAGTTGTGTTGAACTGATGACCGAAACTAGCGAAGAAAAGAGTGCATGGATAGATGCGGTGTGGAATGTTATCAGTGAAAGTTTATCGCGCAAGAAATCCTTTAGTCCGCCGGTATCAATCATACCACCCATTAATTTCGATACAGTTGGACAGTACGGCTCATTTATTTGCTTACGTAAAATAGACGGAAGACAGACAAAGCAATATTTTAGCTGTATAGGTGATGAGAGCAAATATCCCAAGTTCGAAACCTGAAGTACCTTTTCTAGATACCGACTATCATCACACCACAGCGATCTGAAAATCGCTGTTGTGCCAAATGTGACGTCGAATTCTCATTCATCTCCAGGGGTACCGCATGTATTCAATGCGCTCAGCGATTCTGCAAGAAGTGTTTCGGGAGGCTACGCAACGAAGATAAAGCCATGCGTGTCTGTGACATTTGCTTGCAACAGCGCATAAGCCATGTAAGATGTTTCCAAACTAATATGATTTAATTATATAATATTGAGGAAGCCTGGATACAGATATATATTCCTATGGGGTTCATTCATTCCCATCGCAATCATCCTAAATCGAATTCTTGATGGAACTTCATTCTTAGCAGAATTCAGATTGAATTTTTGTTTAAATCAATTGATTAAAAACTACAAGTTTAAGAGCTATCTATCGGGCTGCATTTTAGTTGTATAATTAGAATGCGTTGTTAATATGTTTGATGTTCATAACTACTTTGTTGCGGTAGCTATGAATTTTAAGGACTATTCCCAACCAAAAGAAAACCAGCCGAAAACACGAACAAATCCACTGTCGATAGGAACTAAAGAAGGCGAAATACTCCATGCCAGTTACGTTAAATTCCGCGGTTCAATGAACAAGCCATTAAAGAGATATTTCGTTGTGCGGAAAGACTTCTGCTTATATTCCTATGCTTCCGACAGTGTGAGTTCATTTGCATGTTTACTTTAACATATTGTACCCAAACTTTCAAATTCTTAAATCGGGAGAGCTTATAAGTACAACGAGACAAGGTGCTTTGTATTCTTTACCTTCGCATAAAAGTCTGAAACAGCTAAGATTTACAAGCGAACATTCGTACAAATTTTCTGATATTGCTAAATATTTTACAGGCAGAGAGTGCCCTTGCAATGCTTCCGCTTCCCGGGTGTGAAGTTAAAATGAATAATGAGCGATTCACATTTACCATAAAGCATATGCAGCGGCAGTATATGGTTACTGTTGAGAGCGAAGATGCTCAAATAAAGTGGATGGCTGTACTGGATCTCGCTTCTAATGCTGTACTCAGGGAAAAGATAAACTCGTGATCTTTTTTTTGACTCTGATCACGATGCGATTTACTGGAATTGCCTCTAAAAACATAAATTGACTAATATTTTTATCCTGTCATATGAATTTATGTGATCCTTATTTTCCTTCTTAGGATCTTTTGTATCTCCTACTTTTATGAGAATGGTCAATAAATGCTGGAAATTCTAAAATAGATTAATGATTTTTCTTCTCTGAAAAACTGTAAAAAGTAATTCTGGTAAGTTGCAGAGAAATGAGGGGGAAATAAATGGTCAATACACTGACAAAAAATTATTGATAGTTAAGTGATTGGTCGGTGGGTACACTTCTATGTTTTCATCAAGATGGGGAATGCAAAATCTTAATTATTGATATTTTACGTGAATTGCTGAGTTTCTGAGACATGTTAAAAGAGCTGTTTTTTCACTATCTTGACCTATTTCAACCTTAAAAATGACGTTCGTCAAAAAAGTAAATCTTGGACTGCTTAGAATTAGAACAATTATTCCAAATTTTTATTTGTACCTTCAATTTCTACTGCTACACAATTTCCGTATATGCGGTTGTTATTATATTGCATTCCAATCGGTATAAGTAAATTGTATATAATTATTGACATTAGTTATATAAGTAAATTATATAACTAATGTGATTAAATATAAAATTTTGTGTTTCTCTAATTATTTGCAAGAAGTGAAGCAAGCGATCATTGGTGCGATTAAAAATAACTGATGGGTTTGAGGTGCGATACAGAAATATCGACACAAAGAAATATATCAAGAGACAAAATTACTTATTTCACAAATTTTCATTATTGTATTTTGTTGTGAGAGTCTCGTTGCGTTTCATATTACGTTTTAGCTGCGAAGTACTGGTTTTAAACCCGTAGGCATAAACTGTTATGAAATAGCACCACGGGTGGTTAATCAAATTAGTCCTGAAATTTTGCATTATAGTTAAAATGAGTGCACGGTTAAAGCTTTTTTCTATCCTATCACCTCACAAAGAATATGTTATCATGTCCGTCCTTAAGTTTCAGCAATATGACATAATTCTCTTCATCTTTATACTCCGTATCCTTACTTTCATCATGCAAAATACCGCTTGTTTTACTCTGCAGAAATGTCGCTCGCTTTCAACAGAAATACTCAGTGCTCTCTGCGTATATCTCCTCTAAGGGATATTCATAAATTCCAATTCCGATAAGCATCAAGTTATCGCTAAAAGCTGAATAAAAAATTAGTACATTTGATAAAACTAACAGAACTGACTAATATTCAGATCTTCCAGAAAGAAAAAAGATATTGTTTCATACTGAATAGTTTTCACTCCTTAAATGCATAATGATATTTGTCATTAGGATCACCGAATTTTCTTTGTTACCTTGAGATTCAATTTTATTCGACTGAAGCTTGAGAATTTTACCCACATCTCTCTGAATCCATCAATTTACACTGATCGGTATTTTCATGGTCTGCTGAATCGACAGGGACACTAGATGAAACCATTTCCATCGCTTTCAGATTACCTCAAAACTCTGAATGAACTGTCAACCTCAAGATGAGTCCTTGAAATAGGTTTAATATCCACTTGAAGTTACTTTCTTTATTTTATGCTAAGCACATCTATTCATATACACTTGAACATCATTTTACCATAACGGATTTCATGTTTTTTTCAATTTGTGACTAAATCAAATCAAAAGGCGAAGCAAAGCTTAAAATGATTATATGTGAAAATCGTTACTTGTACTTCGTGTCTTTAATGAAGTATAGCACCAATGTCTACTGATGTTACGGCGACAAATGAATAAGAAAAGAATCACGTCAGTGATTCAGTGTGGCGATACGTTTTAGCTGTGTTTGTCTTACCTTGCAAAATAACCATCGCATTCTTAAAGCATTGAATCGAGGTCATTTGCTATAGTGAGTAAATAATGACTGCATTTTTGGTCACGTTATCCCACTGATTCGTTAGTTTTATATGAGACAATTTACGTTCAATACGATGAACCAGAATCTCTTTTAAGCAATTTCTCCATAGTTACGACAGTAATTTGTTCGTCAACGCATATTCAGTATTCCTGTGGGTTATTTGAAAATTCTAGATATTGTCCTCGATCATATCTTACTTTAGAGAACATAATTGATTCGATAAAGCAGATTTAAAATCCTAGTCTCTGAAAGTGAAGTGAAACAAGAAATACGATGGCACCAATAATACCAACAGATTCAAAATTTGGCCACAGACTCGAACTGAAGTGCTTATTGATATCAATATCGGAAACTACTGAGTTCCAAAACAATGGGTTCGCTTGTTATCATAGTATCTGTTATGACTATTCCAGCTAATCCAGCTAATGAAATGAATTCAAAAGTATCGCCAGTGTAGGGTATTAAATAAATATGAAGAAGTCATTTTTTCGAAATGACAAATCGTTGTGGATCCTGAATGTTTCTTAAAAATAGAAAACTTGAACTGTCACAATATAACTAAATCAATGAAGCATACTCATAGTTGTGAACACAAATTTCTGTCGCAGAATAATTACTGTGGAAATTTCTTTCAATCCAATTTCACATTTTTTTGTTATTTTAATCGTTATATTTCTTTAAAAAATATCTTTTCATAAGCTTCCCGCAATATTTTCTCTTCTGTTGACCATTGAACTATAAACCTGTTTGCACAAGTAGCACTTATCAAGAATGTATGATGCTTTTCTTTTTTCATTACAACTTTAATTTATTTCATTAATACGTAGTTTTGACTGATCAAGTTTATAGGTAATGATCCCCGATTGTGCCACATTATGAAAAACCGATCATTTGCTTTAAGTATCCATAAAAGATATAACCACTATATTCTTGTGTCAACAGAAAATCTTGTCCACATATGTAGACTTCGAAGGATGAACATGGGCGTGGTCAATTAGCCCTCCTAATGGGCATCATGATAGTTGACTGCTATTGATGAGGATCGAACCGCTGGAACTTACTTACCTTCCTTATGACCCTTTAACAAAGATAACTACTGTCCCTACTACTATTACTACCGCTGCTACTATTAGTACTGCAACACATTGCAACGCTGTATTCGAGAGAAGTTACTGTTCAAGAGGTAACTTTTCTTCCACATTAATTATGCAATTCTCATTTACAAAATGATTAATTATCATAACTATTTCCATTTGTAATACGTCAAGTTATAAAACTAACCGACAAATCAAAATTATCATTGTTATAACTTGGTCGTTAGTTTTAGTTAATATCAACTCTTGTCTTTCTTCATTTACCATTCTCAGGTAACATTTTATCATTCAACAGCTCTTTTATATGTTTACTTTTTGACAGTTATATGCAGAGGTTTATCAATATCAATATATCAATGTTTCTTAATTCAATGAAAGAATTCATGATTGTCATTGATTTAAGGGTATTCATTAATTGAAAGCTAATTTTGTTAGATTTGCTACATTTGAATTCTTATGCAAAGGACAACAAGTTACCTCGTAGACGAACTGCATTTACTGATCAACAATTATCTCTACTTGAAAATGCATTCCAAAAATGTCAATATCCAAAGATGGATATGAGAATGAGGTTGGCTGCGGAAATGCAATTACCAGAAATGTGCATTCAGGTCTTCTTAAATTTAACATTTCAAATAATTAAGAGAACGAAAGTTATTACCCTTTCACTTAAAATAAATACAAATTATAATAACTTTTGTATTAAATTTATATTGTTTGTTTTTTTTTATGCATAAAATATTAGAAAAAATAATATTTCTGCACAGATATCTTCCCTATATTTTCTCGTTGTCGCATATGGTTGTGAAAAATTGGTCAGATTAGTGTAAATTTGCATCTGTTTACATATTGAATTATTAGTAGCTCGAGGTCATAGCTGTTGATGATGATATTTGCCAATACATTACTGTATTAAGCAAACAAATTTAAGCTTCTCTTGGTGATTTGATGGACTATTCAAGTATCTCCCATCCGTCGAATACAACTGTAATTTGTCTAATCATTTCACGACCTTCTAATGACCCTTCATGCACTTAAGCTATATCAAAGATTCTTAAGGCAAAAAAAAAATTCATTGGCTATAAGAAAAATTCCAAATATTCAAATAATAAATCATATTGGTTGACGATCTCTTTTCACATTGTATTAATGTTACTTCTGTTGACCTTTTTGTTTTTCATGAATGTAAAGAATAATAATATTCAGTAAAAAGAAAATCAAACAATTTTGAAATAATTTTTAATTTAGGTATGGTTCAAAAATCGTCGAGCAAAATATCGGAAAAAATTACGAAATATTGCTAATTCGGAAATTACATCCGATAATTTCGTCCCAAAATTGAATACCGTAATTAGTTAGTGTGCTTTTAAAAATTATTTTAATCAAAAAATAGATTATATTAATATAATATTTAATTGAGGATTTTTTTTTGTTTTATTCTCTTTTTTTTACTAAACTTTAGGAAATCGTTTCAATATTACATTTTATTTTCCAAGAGTAATTTCATCAGTTATACTTTCTTCTTCTAGCTTATATTTTATTTTCAAAAATTTAAAAACCTAAATCTTCATTTTAAAAGTTTAGCTTTTATAATTTTTTTTTTTAAAATATTATTTTATAGCATGGAAGCCGAATGTTGCACTTGTTTTTGTGACATCTTTTCGAGAAACTATGGCGTACCGTAGCAACACTTCTAATATGATAGGCAATTAATTAGCAAAAGCTATACTATCCATGATTAATATACATTCTATTACTTTGTAATTATGACCACTTAATTTACAATGGTTCAATGAAGAGTTTTACAAAATTTTCTAATTCATTGCTTGAAAATTTTATGCTTAGAGGAGTATATTTTTGTTTTCGAGAAACAATGTTCCAATTTATAAAATTTAATTTTCTTTTTAAATTTTATCATTTTCTTAGTTCACATAATTTAAGTTTTCCCCGTTGGTCATCCAAGCATAGTTTTAATGATATTAATTATTTCATTGATCAAAAAGCTTCTCCAATTATTTGCAAATATGTTTGATGCATTTATAAGCAACTATTTTGATTGGATAATCTTTTACACATTTAAATGTTTTTCCATTGTCTATTATTTCTAATATTTTGTCAATAAGTCATTTTATCTAATAAACAAAACAATTTCAAGGAAATTATCTCCTTTTATAACAAGTAAACCATTGTTATCCATCTAAAATTCTTCTATTACAATCAAAGTTTCCGAGTTTGTGGCGGCATTTTAGATCTTCCGAAATTAATTCGAAAAATCCAATGTTTTCGAAATGTGACAAAAAATCTGGAAAGTGCGGCTATTATTTCTAACATTGTGGTGCATTCAACAATCGTTAGATTCCTGTTGCAAACGTTTTGTTGAAAGACAAAAACGGTGTCTACAACACCTGGGGTTCCCAGGCCGTCTCCGATCCAAGTACTAACCAGGCCCAACGTTGCTTAACTTGACAGATCGGACGAGATATCGTGCTTTCAACGTGGTATGGTCGTAGACATACCCTTACCTACATTAACGATATACCAAATATTGTAAAGTTGTGCTGTATCCAATTTGTTGTCTTACTAACATTTGTTATTATTTTTCGAATATAAGAAAATGATATAACGATATGATATTGTCAGTTATTGAAGAAAATATTATTCATGGATTTAAAGAAAAATAAAGGTAAAAGATATGTATCACTTTCGTTTTTTTTTATTTTCAATTTTGAATTTAAATTTTTGTTTCTTTGAAGTTAAAGAACTGCAAAAGATAACTTATTAGAAGAGCAGAATAAATAAAATTTATTACGATATATAGGATGAATGTAAATATTTGTTTTTATTACTGACAACAGTAAAAAATATTTTGGCCAACTTGTAAAACTGTTATTGATGAACTTTAATTGATTAGTGCACTAGTGATTAGTAACATGGATCAATAAGATGAAGATGAAATGGATAATGAGTATAAATTGCAATAAATTACCGCTACTAAAAATGTTGTAAAATAATAATGAACAAAAATATATACCGAAATGAAAATATTAGAGAAATAATTTACAAGTCATATTAGAAATAGAATAATCAAAGATAAGCAGAACCATAAGCTCTATAAGGTAATCTTACTGAAAATTTTGATAGTTTGAAAAAAAAAACAACACTGAAATGGTGAAGTTGAAAAATGATTCAGTACTAAAATCAATTATTATCGTATCATTCAATAACTAAGCTTCATTATCATTGATATAGCTTAAAACACTAAGATACTAATAATCCTTTTATGATTTCTCAAACAGAATTACCAGTAACAGAAGTTGCTTCGATCATTCCGAAAGTTTTTTTCCTCAATACTTTACTAGTCTTTACTAGTTTCTTATTCATTATTGATTTATTAAAACTTAAAAAAAAAACAGGTACAGAAATCCAACATGCTGCAACAGTTTTTCCTCAATTTATAACTTATTTGAGACTATCCCCTCGACCTCTCCTATATTCAAGGCAAAATAAACCCATCTTTTTTATAAAAAAATTTTTATAAAGTTCATACTTTTGATTATGTGATAATTTCGGGTTAAAAACAACAGGACAATTTATCAATCTGATAAATGCTATATTTTTCTTTCTTCAACTGTTTATTTAGATTTCTTTATTTGCTATAATGCACTGATATGATAAATCACTAGTAATATCCGCTTTTATTTACTATTATTTGCTATTTCATCTGAATACCTATATCGTTTCCAATGCTGTTATTCGTTCACTAAGACAAAAGCTTTTGGTGCAATTGATAAAATTTAATTATTTAGAAAATATGTTCGGAGATCAGAACTATGCAAATAACAAATGCATTCTTTTTTTTTTGACTGAAACTAGATCTAGTATTGCAAAGCAGCTGTAATTAGCAGACATCTCCTGTTATGGATAACGAGTTCACTAATTACCTGTTAGTAATAGTTAACTGAACAATTTTTACCTTCACATTTCTTCTCCGCTCATCCCTTCTCTCTCTCTCTCTCTCTTAATCAATTCTTTCCATGAAAAACATCTACAACTATGTGGTAAAAATTTCTATTTTTACATCAATTTCATATCAGCAAAATTTCATAACTTTTCAACTTCAAAATGAAACTGAAATAATTCGTAATTCATCCTTCTCTTTTCTTTTGTAATTACATTTTTTACATTTATTTTTTCTTCTTTTAAAAGGATGCAAAAATAAGTTGAAATAATAAATATGCCTTTTAGTTCCATTCAAGCAACCATTAAATATCCAATTAGTTAACAAAAGGGTAGGTTGAGAAGAAAGCACACCTGATATGTCAACTATCTCGTTTAAACATTAACTTAACTTCATCCATAAATTTTATTGCTCTTTTTCTCAATATCATGTTTCTGATTATTAGAATCTTAATCTCTTTGTTTCAACGATCGGACAGATATCATTATGGGTAACAAATATATCCCAGGATTTCAACACACCATACGATATTCGTTTTAAGCATTTTACTGTTGTAAAAACACTTTTGGTTAGTAAGGATCTAAACTATTTGAAATTTTCATTTAATTCATATTTGCATATACAGATTGTTTCTTCACAGTATCTAAATTTATTGCCTTCCTTGAGGGAGGATTAGAAGCAATCAATCTGATAGTCCTGTAATGCTTAAATTTTCAGTGATTCAGATTGCACACTTTCCTCTACCACTAGACAGTGTTTCACTATTTCCGGAGATTGCTTTCCGCTTATTTAATAATGAGTATTTGTAAGCCTTAACAGCACAACAAATTTCTTCTTAGAGTGAAGTATGATATATGGTAAGTAACGATCATTTCTTGCTGGACTTACATTTAAATCAAACTAACTCTATTTGAGTTAGAATTTTTTAGCACGAATAATGTTGATTTTAGGATTATTGCTTTAATCATTTCTTTTTTGTACCAAAATCATTTTTTTCATTTTTTTTGTTTTGTTGTAACATTATATTTCGGAAAATGTAAAATGGAGGGAGAGAATATTGGAATAAATTCTGGAAAGACTACTTATTTCTGTTATATGATATTGCTCGTAAAAATGGAACAGAAAACGGACAAGTACTTGCTTTGAAATTGTGAGACTTTTTCAAAATTAATAACTATCCATTTACCATTGTTTCACTTTTTGAACTTGATTTGATCTCTTCCGTTTGCCACTGTGTTCTTACACCAAAAAATATTTCAAGAAACGAAATAATAATCAACTGTAGATACAATGAATAATCTAAAACTATTTTTCCTCAATAGATTACAAAAATTAGCACAAAGAATTTGAACATCGTGAATCTCTCAGTACATCATTCATCTTGCTAATTTAGTCGTATTATTTAGGATGTTAATTTCATTGTTCCGTTTTTGAACGATAAATGATGAAAGAGTGGAAAAATGTAATTTAAAAACTGTGAGATATTTTAAATTGCAACTTTGCTTAACATTAACTTTTTCAAATAACTCTTCTTTGATTTTGTCTTTCTATTAATAATGCTATTTCTAATTTACTTATTTTTCCACGCTCACGAACGAAATTTGGAAAACAATTTACTGTTCTAAATATTTCACTTTCATTTGCTTGGTAACAAATACGGTCGTTACGTGAATCGACAGCCAATTATTCACCAGTTAATAAAAAAGTTAGTAAACAACAATGACGAAAGCGATATGTTTACTGATGATTACGTGGAGCATGATAGTGCTAGCTTATCGTACTGAATCCCAATATATTTCACGTCGAGGAAATTACGGTTATAGTAGAGATGATTTGTACATGGTTAGTGCTAAACTGTATTTCTTTTTTTTTAAATTTTCTTTGAAAATATTTCACTCTTATTCTTTTTCTACCTATTCAAAATTTGAAAATATACTAGGAAATAAAAATTTCATTTTAGAGCACTTTCGCAGATCAGTCCTTCAGTTCCAAATTTGTGTATTTAAGGGATAGGTAATAAAACCAAATAACTCTACTTTTTCCATCTAATTAAAACTGATATTTCAACATCGTACCTGTAAACCGAAAAGCAGAAACATCTGAAGGAAGATTAGCAAAAAAAGAGCAAAAGATACCACTACGCACCAAAAGTGAAATTTTTAAGAAGTCCGCTGAAAACTGTCAACATTGCAGCGAAATTTCGGAGTAATCAATTCGGACAGCAGAAGGATACGGTTTGACAGTCCTCGTGAATTACCCAAGCGATATTTTGATGCATTAGTCGGCCAGTCATTGGGTAAACGATCAACAGCGATACTATAGCCTTCTGTTTGATACCGTTTCTATGATCTTTGACATTTATTCACATTGACATGAATACTTGTTGTATCTTCGAATTAGTAATTTAAAAACTATTATATATTTTCATTGTTTGCTAATCAGTACGAACATGCCCATGAAAATATCGTTCACAATAAAAGAGGACTATTCTCGAAATCCAAAATGTTGCAAGTTTTCAGCAATCCAGAATTCCGGATTCTTGAACTTTTAAGCAACATTTAGAAGAGTTTCAAATACCAATCATACGGAAAGCAAAGATGAAATAAGGAGAAAAAGGTCAGATGTCAATTCGTAATAGAACTCGGAGGTGTAACGTTACCACTGGGGTGGCACTTAGAGTTCAAACATGATTCTCTGCTTCAGATCGTCTGTTCTTTTGCATCCATTTCTTATCGCGGGAATATCACCCTATTCGAACATGTGGTCAGGATGCATAAACGTAGTTAAGATTGAGTAAAAAAATGCAGCATTGAATTTCGAGAAAGACAGAGATTGTTAAGTAGCGAAATGGACGAATGGTGGATGTTGCACTGAGAAATTTTTGGACAGAAAGAATGGTCGCAGAAGTGGGTTTTTGATTTTTTTTTCAGTTATATTTAACAGGGACTTCGTCTAAAGTCTTTAATTCTTGTTTCCTGCACTCTTTCTGCTTACTCTCTTCCCTTTTCTCTCTCCCTCTCTCTTCCTCTTTTTCAAACTTTTCTCTCTAAAGAGAAATTAATGAAACATAGAAATGCAAATAAAAGGAAAAATGTAGTTGTGATCACTTTACCATTTCGTGCTTTATTCAATTCATACTTTAAGCCAATTTCTTGGATTTTATCGATTGTCGGATAGGCTACAATGTGCATATAATAAATTCGGTTGAGGAATTTGATGATGGAACTATCGGCGAAGGAGCACTTGAATCGTTGTTTAGCAGAGGAGCACGACTACGCAGTCGGAAAAGCACATTGTCGATTGGCGTCATTGTATCCTGATTTCGACCCATTATTGTGTGATGTAAGCCTCTGCAAATGTGCAAAACACTTTCAAAAGCTTCATTTGTGCGTATACAAATTAGAAGCGGCTCATATCCGGCAAGCAAGATAAGAAGTGTCCAAAGGAAAGATCAGGAGTTTATTGAAGAATACTGGCTTACTTTTCTTCTTAGGAATATTAATGTATACCGCGGGAAAAAATGTCCACGAATGGTGGTTGATTAACTCGAATATTGTAAACATGGAATTAAATAAAATCATTTGTGCCGTTTAAGCTTTTTATAAAACTTCAGTTTTACTTTATAGATAACTGAACTTCGGTTTTATATGAAATGGAATCGTGCCATGGAAGCTGTCCCCATACTGGAACGGCTGTAAGTTTTCATCATGATTATTATCTCGTGATTTGACCACGATTGTTAGCATATGATAAAATCTTGTTAATCTTGTGTCTTGTATGCATTACCATTTAAACTCACATTTTGAGCTTATAGGATGTGCAAAGATTTAAATAAATTTTCTTGTTCGACGTGTTTGAAGTTCACTGTTTTAGCGTAAAAATACATCCATCAGACGAGGCCTGGACACTGATACATCAACTTTTCCTGAAAGCATCGTCTTCAAAAAATTCTACTGAAAAAGGTACTGCTTCAGTAAATTTATTTTTACTAGTAAGCAACATCGCAAAAAAATATTTCCAGTTTTGTTTACGGAAATTTCAAACGATGCATTTGAATTCATTATTGGTGGCTTAACAAAGCGTTTTGACAACGACGATCTTTTGAAAACAAAGTTACTTCTTTTTTGTTTACGCAATGCTGATGAAAACAAATTCAGCAAATTGCTGGTTAGTTTTATCAATTTTTTATGTTCTCCGACGTTTTGAAAATTCATTTCATTATTTGTTTGTAGCTTTTTCCTCGGATTCTTCCTCTTTGGACTTTATTGTCTTTTCTGACATGCAGAAAATTTAAGAGAGAAATGTTAAGTATTCCTTGAATAAATTTGTTTTAAAATATCAAAGTAATTGTAAAATCTAACAAATTTGATTTTATAGAACCGTGCCATAACATTTATAACGGAAAGAGCTAGCAATGACAAAGAACTCGAGAGCGGCATTGGCAAGTATCACGTTTATTTAGGTGATTTTCCGAAATGTTAAGAAAATTTTCGTGCTTTAGGACTATCTAAATACCGGAAAAGAGTGCTGTTTCAAAAGTAAGGGTTAGGATACTGAATAAAGTTTAAACTTAGTGCTTAGTTGTTTGGCTTTTTAAAGTCATACTTTTCAGCTTTGTAGTATGACCATGGTCAATATACTTCCAAATTCAAGGTGACAATTGTTGAAAGTGAAGATAGTGCTCTTACTCAACACTTCTTATGCATTATTTTATACTTCAGATTCTTTTTCAGCAGTCTTTGTTGCTCCTGCTCTCTTAAAGCTAAATTTTACAAACATAACAGTGAGCAGAGCTTTGAGTATTGTAATCACAGTTCTTCACGTTGGAATCGCTTGGCCAGAACATAATGATGCCTGGACTAGTCTTTTACGGTCATTAATTTTCATATTTTTTTAACACTAAGAAAAAGAAATAATTTTGTTATCTCGAATATATATTGTTATAGTTCATCCATACTGATTGAAAGTCTTTTTTCTCCAAGGTAACTCTCAACGGTTTCAGTGCAGTCTCAGAAAATTATGCAGCCGAAGCACAGCACTTCTCACAAGAGAGCTTTAAAATAGGAGCTGCACTGTTCGACAAATGTGTTATTTTGTACGATCTTGGAACACCTATTAATTTATCTTTAAATATGAGGTATGGTATTGTTATATAGGAGAGATTTTTTTCCGAGAAAACGGAAACTTCACTGCTTAACAGTGCGTGAAAAGAAGTGCATTTTATGGGATATATTTTCAGTGGATGTAGCATTGTGTCAAGTATCGTGGACAAAGCTTGCAGTCTGAAAGGGGAAGCTCGTAAGATCGTATTCCCATTTTTTATATGGTACGCTTATAAACAGTGGAAGGCAAATATCGATGAAGGTGTCTTTTTGCACTTTTTTCCTACATCAGTTAATTGCGAAGCTAACTGTTCTTTTATTGAAGCACATATAAAGATTTATGTATAAGCCTTTCTTTTGTGCCTATTTGGTGTATTTTATTACTACCATGTTTGCAAATGCAAAGTTTTTGGGGCAAGATTTAATATTATCAAGGTTTACATCATATAATTTAATAGGTGAAGTACTTGCGTGGATCCCAGAAGATAACTGGGCTATGGATGTCGACAAATTGCTAGGCAATAATACTGAATGTTTAACTCCTTCAAAAAAGGCAAAACTCAAGGAACGAAAGGAGGAGGTAGCAACATTTCAAACAGAGTATTTGTTGTCATCACGACGCGAGGTATTTCTTTTTTCGTAATGGTTTTCATTAAAGCAGATTTGTCAGGTTTTGCTTAAACTGTATTTGCGATTGATTTTTGAAGCGATTTTCAGCGAGATAAGTAGTAGGCTTTAACAAAGTGAAGAAATGTTTCTATTCTGTTTTTCAGTTATGCGAGGCATACGAACTTTGTTGTGCAGCAATTTGCGCATTTATGACATCGATTTCTATGGATGTTGTTGCTGAAAATCTGTATTTTGCCTCTTTTTACAGTGACATACGACAGCTCATCACCGAATCTCTACTGTTCAAATGCAAAGTCAATGAATTAATAGCGTATGTTGATGATGATGTGGGTGCCGTCAAAAATTTTCGAAGTGTTAATTTTTCTGTGCTTTGTAATTTCATTAACCATTTGATTGTCGGCCATAATCAATTAGTCAGTTTTCTTACATGTATAATCTCATCTTTTATTTTTAACAGCTGGGAAATAATGATCCTTGGACAAAAGTGGTGCTTTATTTCCAACTCGCCTGTGCTCACTGCTTGGACCGGAGTTGGCCTGATGCATGTGAAAGCGTGATTCACATACTTAATATTACAAAAGAAGACGATATAGGATCAGAAATGGTTTTGTTCCTGTCAATCACTTTTTTCTGCTATTCCTGTAGCCACTCAGGGTCAAAAAAATAGATCTTGTCGCATGTTTCGTACATGCGAAAATAAGCTTGTCGAATATTTCAAACTTTGTATTCAGATTCTCTCAAGTTCTAAGACTGGTTAATGCAAAGCTAATTAATACCTTGTTTTTGAATGAGGTTGAATAAACTAAATATTACTGTACATTAGTGCAAGTTGTGTCTCATTTGCAGCTCATTTCCGACAAATATTTACCAGGCACATACACTAAAAACGACTCTAATGCTCAGGTTTGTGTATTTTTCTGCATGGCAAAGTTTACTGCTACAGGTTTTTAGGACTACAGATTTTTATATCTCAGTTACAGTCATTTGTTGCTCTTTGTTGTCAGGAAAGCACTTTTTTGTGTAAATCCATATCTTATGTCAAACAATGAAATCAGTTTTTGTAAGAAATCAGTTTCTCAATTGGGACCGAGTGTTGCATCAGTTTTGTTTATATTTCAACATTTATTTTTACTAAACTTTTATTTCTAGCCGACTTTCATAATCATCAAACGAGAACGATTAAAAAGAATAGTGTTCGATATTGCGTATCATATTTTATTCCGGGTACTTCTATTACCGTTGTTGTGGAATTGTGTATAATCTTTATTCATAACACACAAAATGGTAACATGAATTGTTGCATTACAACGATTTATGGGATGTACAAATCTTATATTAATTCAAGGTTTATACGTCAACAGCGATGGGTCATGATAATGATCAATTATTGGGTGCTCTACTTATATTAACTCAAATCGATTTTGCAACAAAAGGATATCGATGTTTTAATCGCATCATGCGACACGTGGAAGCAAAGGTAATATTTGTGCTATGTAGGAACAATATATAAAGAAAGGGAAGTGCAAATAATAATTAGTTTAGACTTTAAAGTAGTGATCTGATTTCAGGGATCGCTAAGAAGTTCCGGACTTATAAAGCACATAACTAACATCGCAATTCTAGAAGAACTATCAAGAATTCAAGACTACTGCTCCGAATATGTTTCCATTCAAATAGCAGTTCCACAAATACAAAGGTTAATAATCGCTTATTTTGATTTTGCTACCCATTTTTAAATGTGAGAAATGTATTGCCGGAGCTGATTGCTTTACCACTAACAAGTTTAGTTTAATTATGTGAATTCTCAAATGCTGGGAACCGAAAATTTCTTGAATATAAATTCTCCTATTTCCAGAAGAATAGGACAGTCAACGCGTCACAGTGTAAGAGGAACGAAAGATGGTCAAAAACAATCAATAGAAGAGCAAATAAAAAAATGTCGAGAAGATCCACATGTCACAGTGTCGACTTATTTTATTGAAAACAAAGAGACAATATTGAAAATGCTTGAAGCAAAGTTCTAGAAACCAAAAAATTCATGGACCGAGAAGTTTACACGACATTCATCGTTTGTATCTGTTGTACATAATGCCAAATCAAATGTGTGGTGGTTTTTAGATCGTTTCATGTTTTATTCTTAGTATCTTTGTATGTTTGCCGCTGTAATTTAAATATTACTTTCATATTTTGTCGGAACCTATTCAGTCGGTGTGTTGTACTATTCTAATTTAGGCATGACTTTTAGAGACATGAACTCGCGCAGGGTAATTATGCTTTTCACCACATCAAGAGGGGGCACTCACAGGTTGGATTTCGCGCATGTAACTTCCGCCTATATGTGTTTGCATGTCCGGAAAATTTCAGTGAGATTAATGAGAATGTGAATGAGGTGAAGTCATTCAACATACAACAATGTTAACCATAATATATCGACTTTCGTTTAAAATTTGGATGAACTTGCCACAGAGCAAATACGTATGCATGTATCAAGAACTTAAAATAGGTGGGGCGAATACGTCTGGGAGTTTCGTGAGCCTGAAGTCAGGATTTTGCTTGTAAGTAACCCCGGACTCTCTCAGCTGCTTTCTGACCACATTATTAAAGAAGTAACGCCAATAATCTGAGGTGAAAATGATTGGAGAAATTATTTATTACACTAAAACTAATAAAAAAACGAAAAAAAGAGGAAGCGATCAAAATACAACGACGCTGGTGAAGCTTTTACAATGGACAACCGCTTTAACAAGCACCTTCTGGGGTTGCTGATGTACAGGTAGTTTTCGAACTCGCTAGAATAGGTCTCATTTTTCCATCGGAGTTTAAATCCATATCAGTTATCGCCTTTGATTTGTTAGCTAATGAGCGTTTCACTTGCTTCTTCACGTTCCCTGGCGGGCGAACTAAAAATACACTGTAAAAATATAGTTATACCCAGCATTCTAAATACTCCTTTATTCATTCCTTTACAGTAAATTGTAAATAAAAGATATTCATTCCCTTACAGTAAATAGTAAATAAAAGAGTTGAGAGAAAGGTGAGAATGAAAAAATCAAGTTCAAAAATTCGAAGCGAACGAATGCAGCTGACCAAATTTCGCAGGACGCACGACAGTGAACGTTTTATTTTTCCACCCTCCAGTCGGAGCTATGAAACACGTTTCGTCGTGGTCCATTCTATAAAGTGACCAAAAAATAATATTAGTTTTTTAAAAAGATGGTTATTCATTGATATCTGCATTCAATGGTAGCCTGTTTTGGAAGGATGCCAACCTGCCTAATCCAGGAATCAACGCAGCAAGAACTGCTCACTTAGTTCGCGGACACTCTCTTCGGACGGGTTCACGATGACAACCGCCGCAAAGCTCCGTCTAACTCATGCTTATAGAGCATCTCCCAATCTGCCTCGACCAAATCGAATCTTGCGGAGTGACAAACAATTCAGGAGAAGAGCCACCATTAATTAGAACGACGGTCATTAACCATTAGCATCCTTTTTCTTCTGAAGATTGGACAAAAACAGGAAAGCTCATCATTTGTACCTCGTCGGAATGAATTACTCAATAGTAGTAAAAAATCAAACATACAAGAGCACTCTGTCGAGACCAGTGTCGGGATTTCGGTATTTCAGTCCCGTAGCATCCTTGAAAACATTTCTCAGTGTCCTGACATGCAACACGCCATGCGAAGGACACAGAGGAATCTCAATACCTCTGCTGCCTATGGCATTCGACACCACAACCCACTCCTCTGGTGCACATACCTACAACTACCAGTGCTACTTTGACGTAATCCTAACATATGAATAATTGTTCTATTTGCCACAAATCTGATATTTTATAATAATAAGTAATAATATTACTAATTCTAGTTCTAATAACAATAATGACAATATAGTTACAATAATGTACCGATTTTAGTGATTCGTCCGAGCTGCAGATCTGTTCTCCATCCATCTTACTGGATCTGCAATAAGATGATTAGAAGTTGATTAGAAGTTAATCAGCTCTCTGAAACATCAAATTATATTCCGGCGTCCACATGTTTTGCAAAATCAAACGAAAGGGTAAGGTAACAAAAAATAGCACTAAACCACTAAACATAGTTGAAATATGGTTTAATCGTATTTCGTTACAGGCAGAAAAGGATACATCTACGGAAGCTTTATTATACAAACAACCTACCCGGATAATGCAATCAGCTAAGATGGAGCGTTGATGATGGGACCAGCAGAGTGCGACAAAGGTCAAATGATACAGTGATTGACCAGGGGTGTGCAAAGCATGTTCGGCGCCATTTCTCAAGATCATAGTTGAGCTTAGAGAAAAAAGTTCAGAGAAATCGATACATTGATAAATATCCATGTACAAGCCGTTTGTCGAAGCCATCTCCGTATAGCAGGACAATTAAATACGTCTATGATAGCTTATGTCGACATAGTAACCAGAGAAAATTCTACAGTGTACCATTAACTGGTTAAGCTGATCGAACTCAATCCAGTTAATATTCACACTTTCTGCGGCTCGCTTTGACTTCTGAAATATAGATTTCATTGAATTTGTGCATTCTCAATCATATACACTTTATTACGTCCACATTTAATATACATTATCAACGCGACACAATCGACATAATCGATGCATTCCAGTTGTTGAATGTCAGTATAATCCAGAAAGTAGGAAAGGAAATCATTTGAAATTTTAATATTCGCAATAAAAGAGTTTTCGCAGCGTATCAAAGTAGTCCAACAATTTGCTCTGATGTAGTAACATACTATGTACGACTGAAGACAGCTGAGCAGGTGAGAGGGCGGGCGTGGGCTATCATTGATTGGGTGTTGGTGACTCGTGGGTTCTTATGCATCGCTATGACAGCAATTGATCTACTGCACTTCTGTCCAACTGCCTATCTGGAACGCACACGTGTGTGGTACTCCACTATATATCCTATTAACAATTGCAGTCCGGAGGGGTGCAGGGGTATACATATTCATATACACAGGCGCAACTGTATTGATGTGCTGTATACGCTCGAGGAATTTGGGATATCGATGAACTTCGAGGAAAGGAAGGGCCAAGGGTTTGCAAAAGACAATCGCGATGTTTACATATTTTGGCCAAGAGAGGATGCCACCTAACGTGAATGTTTACACAGGGATGTACGGGCATATTTAGCTTCTCTTTGTCATTGTTGCCTGTCTTAAAATATCGAAATGCACGGCTAAAGGACAGACTACCACCACGGGGTTTCATGGATTGATCGTGGAGAGGTGCTTGCATCAATGTGTAGTTACATAAGGGATGTTGTGCGTGTGTATGTGTGTGTGTGTGTGTGTATGTATGTATGTGTATGTGTGTGTATGCGTGTGTGCGTGTGTGTATGTGTGTATGTATGTCTGCATATGTATGCGTATGTAATGAATAGATGGAATGAGTTATCAATGAATGTGACCTCAACGAGACAGAGGATACCTTCCATTTCTCTACAACCCGGTTGTTGTCACAGTCAACACTGGCACACTACACGGGTACCACAACTTTCCATTGATAGACCGAAATAAGGCGGTTCGTAAACTAGTTCTAATACATTCCCCTGAATTTTCTTCTCATCCGATACTCTTTGGTTTACCGACGCAATTTGAGTTGGCCTTTTCTTTCGAGGTAATTCTTGAGTAGTCTTGAAGGAAAACCTAGAAGAAGGGAGAAATAGGTGTTAGAAGTCTTTCATAATCTTAATTATAAAGACTTCTTTGAAATAGGCTTCGCGTTTTAATTGTTAATTATCGTCTGGATACGTGCCTGCTTGATAACATGTTACGCCACGTAACTACTTCCAGATTAAATCATGTAATTAACTAAGTCTCGTTCACTGATAACGCCGTAAGCAATACCATTTGATGAGCCTTATAATAAGCCTTTATGTGAACAGTTGTGATACTCTACCGACTAGGACAAGACAGTATTTTTTCAACTTGTTCGAAGTTTCGAGTTCATACCTACTTTGGTTTGATTTGTGCCTAATCTAGATCTAGATCTAGATTGATAGAACAAGTCACACTTTCACCATCACCTCAACGTATCGTTCTCGTGATTGTCCGGTTTTTATGTGAGTGAAAGAATGTGGAAATATGACTGGTAGGGTTTGATACGTTGCGGTAAATGTTTCTTCAGTTTAGGCATAAACATATTAGTTTTTCGCGTGGCATACAATTGTAGCACATTCGTTCTTCTCCTCCGCTTTGGTACATCACGTACTTGATGTTCTCTCTTTTTTCGCTTAAACAAATTGAGACCATTTTATGCTAGCTTCCAATCAGCTGATTGCTTCTTTGTACGTTTCGTTACATTTCTCGGGACATTAATTCGTCCGTTCAGATCACTTGAAAAGGAAACTTACACAAATAAATGTAGTTATGAGCTTCGATCGACGTTAAAAAAATTAAGAAGCGCTGAAAAAAATTGATTTTGGGACATATTTTTTGCGCCGCATACAACTGGTTTAGAATGTACTGCAGTTAAATCATCCTTGTTTCTCTTCATTATTAGACACCATATATTCCATTTCGCCACCACTTTGCAAACGAGTCTTTTTTTCAGACAAAAATGACAAATGTAACGATGGCAGATGATTTGTTCCTTCGTTCCACATTTGCTCGTGGCATTGCTGGATTCTTCACTTGGGCAGCTCTTATAATTACTTCTTATCAGGTAATCATTTTTTGTTGTTAATTAGAAATACTCATTAAGCAATCATGAAATGGTGATCATACTGCTAATTTGATAAATCATGAAAAGATTTTTTGTGAAATTTTTTGTGCCTAAAATTCCTGCAGGCATTGTTAACACTACAGCGTGAAACGTTTTCCTTTCTTCCAACAAACACATAGAGGTTGATATCTTTCATGATTTGTGAGGAAATGCTATCGTTAGAGATAAGTAGTGAAAAAAGGGATTTTTCAGATCTATCAACATTTGCGATGGTATACTTGCCCAATCGAACAGCGATGGATTGTGCGTATTTTATTTATTGTACCTATGTATTCATTAGATTCGTGGCTGAGTCTACTTTTTCTTTCTAATAATGTGTATGTCTACTTCAATGCCATTCGCGACTGTTATGAAGGTAACAATCTCATTCGACATTTGCTTTTCACAGGTTCAAACTGTTAAGGATATGAAATTGAATAATAAATTGGGTTGCTGCATTTTTAGCTTTCGTTATATACAGTTTCCTGAGTTTATGCTATGAATATCTTGGTGGTGAAAGTAACATAATGGCAGAAATAAGAGGAAAACCGATTCGGTTAGTCTTCAGTTTTTTTGTGTTTCAAAAGCTTGTATGAAGTTGTAGTTAAATATTTTAAATTCATGTGAAGAAACTGTGTCGTATGATTTCATTTTGATTTTTTTGCCTTTTTAATCTACACCTGGATATATTGCAAAGTAATAGAATGTAAAATGAGGCTGTCTTTGACTACATTATTCTTTGTCACTTAACTAATCTATAACGAACCACAATTCAAAATTAGTTGAGATTTGTTGCATGAAATGGAACTTTTGGCTTGTTTTACTAGATACTACAAGGTAATGAATTTCAGGCCAACCACCTACTACACATGTACATGTTGTTTAGCAGGAAAACAATATACAATTGAGTTCTTGCGTTTTTGTAAGCAGGCGACACTTCAGTTTTGTATTATTAAACCAATCATGGCTACACTTACCGTTATTCTAATGATTCTGGGGAAATACGAAGATGGAAACTGGAGATGAGTTGCTTTCTTTGCAATAATATCCAACGATAGGTACAATCAAAATAGGAAAGTAAAATATGCTTCTGATTTGTTCATTAAGCATTGTTTTTTTTTTCTGAGTTATTTTCGACGTTAAAAAAATCTCTTCATGCTTTCAGTGGTGATCAAGGCTATCTTTATATAACTATTGTGTATAACGTCTCGGTCTCTTTGGCTCTTTATGGGCTGTTTTTATTCTATACAGCTACACGTGACTTGCTTTCACCATATCGACCTGTTTTAAAGTTTCTCACCGTCAAATCAGTTATTTTTCTTTCTTTCTGGCAAGGTTTGCAGTCTTCAACCGTTTCAAATGTGCTGTTTTTAATATTACGGATTACCTTGTGAACATCGTATAGTCATACAGTCTGATATTGTTGACAGTGTTTCTTCTCTAGCGTATTGCAGTAGATTTTCAGGTGTCTTGCTTGCTGTCCTTGGTTCTACTTCGGCCATTGATCCAATTTACGATGCAGAAGGTCATGAGGTTATATCACGTGGTACTATTGCTGCGGCTTGGCAGAACTTCTTTATTTGTGTTGAAATGTTCTTTGCAGCGGTGGCCTTAAGATATGCTTTTAGCATTAGTGCATACATCGACCCTAACACAGGTTTCATTCATCTCTTGGGACTTTTTTACCAGCCGATGTAGATTTTTTCGAATATTTAGTCAGTTTACTTGTATTCCTGGATTTCGACATATTTTAGCAGTCTTTCATCCACCTGAAGATGAGGTTAAGGCCATCAAAGAAATTATGAGTGTATAGCATTTTCAGTATTGAACGGCAGTGTTGGTGGACGACCGGTCACGCTTCAAAGTATTAGCAGTTCATTGAAAGAAACAATGAATCCTAAAGATATTATGCAGGATGCAATCCATAACTTCCATCCACAGTACCAGCAATATACACAGGTTTGTGTTATTGTTCGATCCTATATTAAACAAAATTTAAGTATATAGACACCGATTTCCTCTTATGTGTGCCCATAACACGACTTAATTCTAGCGTTATGACTAGATATATATTCAGAATGGATGAAGAATATCAAAACTAAAGTAGTTCATTTCTCCATAAAACTGAATTGTTTCTTTCTACGTACAAAACTGAAGTCTGAGCATGTAAGGATTTTTAGTTCGTTAACGGTATTTTTTTCATTGAAGTTCACTTCATGGTTTGTTTTCTTGCAGCATTCAAATCCGACTCGACCGGTCAGTACTAAAACGTTTCCAGGTTTTTTCTTTCAAATAAATGCTGCGATTTTTTTTCCTTGAGTGCCCCGTATAATCACTTCCAGTGCTTATATGATAGTAAGATCACCGGAATGTTTTGTTCAATACACCGATAATTATGGTGCTGTGATTTACTGGCGTGCCACTTGATTATGCATATATAAACTGAACACTGCAGAATAGGGAAGCAGAAATTCGGCGTATTTTTTCTTTAAGATCTGGGAATAATGTGGGTGAATTTTCTCCTGGACGTACGCACCTTGTATATGATATTGAAGAATACCTGGAGTTAGAAATTCAGGAAGTTATATGGTGCTGACATTTATTCTTCAAAACAGAATACATTTGTATTTCATCTCGCTTAGCACATCGCTACAATAATTTCATTAAAAAAATTTTCTTGGTGTTTGCTGACGGCTTAAATGAAAATCTTTTCATATTCCTGCAGTAGTCACTGTTCATGTGATTGCAAATCTCGCACCGTTTCTTTCTCTGTTTCATCCAATTTTTTTTCACTGCTCTCTCTGATGTAATTTATGCTCATAATTTCAGGGAATTACTGAAATGGCGTCAGGGGATGAACGGCGTCTGGCCGGTTCCTCAAGCGGTCAGATGGGAGGCGGTTATTCAAGCATGGCGCATACTGGTGCTAATGGAGTAAGTACTCCAACCACACCTCCAGGTGCTACTGGATGGTGACTTTTCGTTTGCAGTCTGCATTTGGATCGCAGCATTATTGAACCGTTGTCTAACTTTGGATAGCATTCTTGGACTTTCAGTTAAAGGATAGCTCCTAGCTTTACTATATCTATTTTTCACTGTCATGGAAAATTTCGTGTGGTCATCCACATAGGAGGAAGCGTACATAGATTTTATTGTTTCTGGAATTATTTCATCCAACAACTGCTTTGATATGGTTGTAATTATGAGCGATTGATTTGTACTCAATTGATGCACTTTTTCCAAATCATTAAAGCTATTTTCATGTCTAAAGGAAAAATGGGAATTAGAAGCGGAATAAGAATTTCTACTGATAGGTATAAACTGCGCAAAAACAGATTATTTGTCTTGATCTCGCTTCCAGTTTCGTCATAATTACCAAGTTATCCAGGCATATATTCTGTGAAATCCAAATGATTCGTCTTTTTCATGCTCTTTCGATTTCTAGCAGTGCCACTTCCCTTCCCAAGAAATTCCTAATGCAAACGGATAAGATTTTTAAGGCCTGCTGATGGTGTAATTGTTTCAGCTCCCAGCGGTTTTAGTTTTTGAAATGTCGCAATTAAAAAAATGGATCACATGATGAATTTTCAAAGATTCGTACCCGATTTATTTAATTTTAGAATGGTTGATCTGCATATGCGTTAGTTTATGATTTTGTTATTCTTGAGTGTTGACAATAATTGCTTCGTAGATCTCAGTGTGTTTCCCTAGACTTTTTTTTTGTTTACCACTCGATATACAAAAGTGGAAGTGTAGAAAAGCACATGCTTTGTATGTTTCTGTTTCTGTATGGTTCAGGCAGTAGCAAATCTTGAAAAATTGCGGTGATATGTATGCTTTTTGTACGCGTCGCCATTCGTCCTTATTTATCAGTTTGCAGGGCTTTCCATATTTTTCTATGCTGTATTAATTTAATGCAGAATGTGACTGGGTAGGTACGTTAAAATGCGGGCCAGTCTTTTTTATAAACTTCAAAATATGGAAATCCAAAATATTGTGCCCGCAATGCATCATCCATTTTCCATGTCAAATAGAATATTTTAAAAATGTGCCAATGCATAAGGAAGGCATTTCATTGTAATATGTTACGTGATGTTCTCGTATTATTTTCTTTGGTCACTTTTGCTTTTGCGTTTTGTCCCTCTGTATGTGTTTTGTCTCTCTGTACTGTTGTGTTCTTTCAAGCAAAATTAAAAACAATGTGTTTCGTAGTACACTGAATAACGGATGAAAACATGAGGAAGGTGTGCAGAGAAGCACAGACGCTGAACCTGTTATTTGTGGTGTGTTCGTGCCAGAGGTGAAAGAGTCTGTACTGAAGTTGTGCAGAGTGCAAAGAATGGAGTGATGTTTCCGTTCGCAAGTTGAAGCTTAAGATGGGAGAAGGAAGTGAGCATCGGGAAGTTTTCGAAGTGTAATTGTGTCTCGGTCTGTGCACAGAAAAGAAGCAAGGTGCACAGGTGAGTAGACTTTGCGCGCTTCAAAATATGCATCTTTTAGGGTCCCAGTGATCCGTGAAACAAAGAAATGATTGTCTTGAGGATGCGAAATTCTTGACATTTATAGAAAGTATGCAAGCGCACTGCATTTGCTAAAAAATAGCTTCGGTCAGATGTATCCATCAGACTATCCAAGTACGTTTGTTTAACTACTCGAATAGCTTACGTGAGAAGCAGTATCCGAGTTCTCATACTAGTATATTTTGGACGGTGATACATAACAAAATTGGGCCAGTTAGGATGAGAAGGAATGGGATGGGATGCGGTATGATCAGAAAGTGGAACTGGTCTGAAACGATGAAAGCGAGCGTTAAAAAGGTTGTCGGGCGTGTCGCGTTGTATTTGTTTAGGAGGTAATCGATTGTGATTGGACTGCTCGAATGGTGCCGGCCAATCAGCCAACTTGCAATGCATCGTCCGCCAATGAGATGTAAGTGGAACGCGGATTAGTAGGCGGGAGCTGGTACATGCTATTTTCGGGCTTTGGTGGGTTTCCTCCGCGGGAACAGTAAGGAGTGGGGATTTTGTTCCTTATATTGTACCAGGAAGTGATCCATTCAGGATTTCGAGAGTTCCCATTGAATTCTTCGGAACTACTCTCCCTTATAAGTGTTTAACTCATTTTCTTTTTGCTTCTGATAATTCTTATATTGTTTTTTTTTTTATCAGTAAATCTTATTAGTATATGCAGCACTATATCCCATAGCATAAACATTTTATGACAATAGTTTATTCAGTTATGCGTAAATGATTTCACTTCAGGAACGACGACAGCACGTCAACACATCAGTATGTCGTTGCAAGTGGTAATCAACCTACGTCAACCACGTCATTCCCTCAGGTTTGATCGGAATATTCCAGCTCTTCCAGTTCTTCTATTCTTTCAGTATCTTGGAGAAAACAGTGATGGTGTGACCAAAATTTAGGCTCTTGCATTGCTTTTCTTATCTTTTGGTGGTAAATTCTTTTCCTTGTGGTAACTACAACATATTTTTATGGTAATACTGTACTATGACTCAATAGCCTTTGGCAGAGTTTGTTCAAAGTAACGATAGCTATTATTTGTTTCAGTATCAACCATGTCAGGTTCAGGTGGTTAATTTGGCTACCGATCTTGAAACTGCAGTCAATGGTAATGACCAGAAATCGTATATATTGATACCAAATGCACAGCAAACATTTCAGCTCAATGGGAATTCTTTGCAGGTCATTATATTCTAGTCAGTTCTTTAAGAAGACAATAATCATATAACTAATCGAGCGAAGACATCTACATACGCCCTTCGATTGATCTTATTTTGAATCACAATTTCAGTTTGATGCGTTATAGGTGGCAGTGATTTCCTGGTGGTCTTTTTTTTCCTTTCTGTGATTATAATGCTCTCGCACTCTGTCAGATAACTAAATGTGCTACTAAGAGCTATAAAAAGTTGATCCAAAATGCATTCTTTTTCTTGCAACAGTTATCATTCAGGTACTGCCTAGTAATGTTCAAGTGATCAATTTGAATGATGTTGCATCATATATTACTTTACCCAGTTCACCCTCGATATCTGTTAGCGAGCAAAACCAGCAACCTTCAACTTCTTCACCCATCTTAAGCTCGCCGTTCCTTTTCACAGGTATGTTATTTGATTTTATTCACTGTAGAAGCATTGAAATGATTTTAATAGTTTATTTTTGCCCTTTCGTCTTCTGCATCAGAGTTTTCATGTCTTTTCTAGTACTGTATGATACTAATTATGAAAATGTTCACTGTCCTTGTCCTCAACTCATAATAAACTAAACTGATGTCTTTGACGTCTCTAAAAACTTCAGTCCTTTGTTGTACTCTCTGTGCTTTAATCTAATTAATGAATGGGTCGGAAAGGTTGACTCGAGACAGATACCAGTAACTTTTTCCAGAATGATTTTGGCTAGTATACAGTCGTGTTACTGTCATGGACGTGTTTCACTGAAAAGTAGGCAAGTTTCATCGTTCAGCTGCTAGCGAAAGTAGAATTAAATACTTTACAGTCGTTTTCATATTGCCACACTTTCAGATGCTAAAGGAATTGATATTGCAAATGTCGTTCAGCTTCTAGCTACACAGGTTAATTTTTTAGAGTTATTAGTATATACAAAATAAAGGTACTCAATATAGTTCCATGCATTTCTTAGCTTGGTAGGATTTTTAACTCATTTACCAAACTGTCTGTTGTAGGGAGCGTCAAACAGTTCTGCTGTTAAACCAGATGAAGAGCCGCTTTATGTTAACGCCAAACAGTATCACAGGTGAGTGTTTTTTATTGATTTGTATGTTTTTTTTTTTTTTAAATCGTCAGTTTTGTAGATTTTACATAAACACTTTACAGAATTTTGAAAAGAAGAGCAGCTCGAGCAAAGCTAGAAAGTGAAGGGAGAATTCCCAAGGAAAGGCGGGTGAGTAGTAATCTTTTCTGTATGTTTTACATTGAACATTTTGCAAATGTAAGTGTTTAATGCTGTATTTCACGGTTAGTGAAAGTTACAAATATTTCTTGATTGTTTTTTTTTGAATAAAATTGCAAATGTGTCTTTTTTCCAGAAATATCTCCACGAGTCCAGACATAAACATGCATTGACGCGCGTGAGAGGTGAAGGGGGAAAGTTTGATCGTGGTTCGCGTAGTTCGCCAGTCCCAGAGTCATCGCAACAGCAGCGACTAACAGAGCAGGTACGCACAGTGTTCCGGCCTGCTTACATTGATTGTGGACCATCAAAGAATTCAGAATCGGCAAATATGGATAATCGATAAATCTTGGCTAAATTTTTTTCGCTTGAGCTATTAAATATTTAAAATGAAAATCACTGCTGTTTTCTTGATCACAAGGAAAGGTCGCGGTATATAATGTGGAATCAGGGCCATCATAACTAGACCGTTCCGAAATTTCATACTCTACAGTTTATGCGCTTTTCCAAAGTGAGTCTCAACCAACAGCTTATAAATCTGATTTCTTATGCGGTTTATTTCTTGGATATCTTGAATATAAAATTACCCAGATAGAATATTTGCAGAAAACACCTGGTTCAGACTATGTTTGCAAGTCTTATTTGTAGCAGCATGCATATGCTTTCCAGTGCTTCTGCTGTATATCTATTTACTGATACTAATATGAGCTTAGGTCTGGTAGACATTTTGTCATTACTTGGCCCAGAACTGCACTGAACGGTACTCGGAGTAATTCTCAATTTTCTTTTTTATTCTTACAGCTTAATTTGATCAAGTTTCACGGAGTCTGTTTTATGTATTTCAGGTTACTTATTTCCATTATACCTTTAGATTTCTTGCTAATGAATATGGTCACCGTAAGATCACATAAGATTTAATTGGTCTACAGTGGTTTTCATCTCTTTTTTAAAATATATATTGTTCTGGGTTGTACCTCTTTTCTCTGCTTTTTTGAAATTGACAATCAATCATTAAGTATTTCTGTCTTTCCAACAATGATGCACACATTTGATTTTTTTTAATATGTGAAATATTACAGGGCAAATGATAACTGATAAGCAAGAAATAACATTAGGAAAGAAGTGGTTTAGCGCGAATGCGTATGAAAATATAAATGGGAAGTTAAAAGAACAGATCGTCGATGATATCACATTTTGAAACGTTTTTAAAAGTATTAATTTGAAGAAATAACTTTGCCAACTTGACGCTGACAGGATTTATTACTATGAGTGAATGTCCATATCACTATTTTACGAGAGAAATCACAACAACGCTAATAATATATATCACGTAATAAAATGCATTACTCCATTTTCTGAATCATACAAATGATAACAGCTCTTTTATTCTTCATTAGACTTCTGAAAAGTATCGCTGTCGGTAAAAGTTTCATTATTACTTCATTTCTCTGTTAGATGTCTATGCAATTTAGTCTGTGGAAAATGACTTGAAAAAAATGTTTCCAAGCCTAATTTATCATTTTACCACCTGTTTTGTTCCTCTCTGCGAATATTTGGTAGTTTGTAACCGGGAATTTGAAGTTAGCGTTTTTTTTTTTGCATAAAAATCATCTCATGTTACGTTTCTGTCCAAAATCTTCTGGTCGGCAGAACTTTATGCGCTTTATTTTATATCAGATTTCAAATTCATATACCAGAAATTCATGTGCTCGACAGTTTCAAAGGATCACCATAATGCTTCTCATCTATGATATATAGTCTACTAAATTTATATTTGATGAGTAAAGCAGTGCTTGAATTCGACCTTAGGAAACGGTCAATACTTTATCGTGAAAACCACCTGGTTTTCAATGTGGCATAGATTCATTTTTTTTCTTCACGAATATTCAATTTCGAGGATTGACATACCATGTATTGTTGTAGTTAGAATTCGATAAGAATTGTCAATATTTTTAAAAAGTGACGAAGTTGGAGATTAGTCGAGACCATATGGCTAATGTCTCACTAAGTTCAATTGTAATCTCCCTTTGCTTCATCTTGTTGCCAAACACCAAAACTTTTCATCGAGGCGAGAAATCCTAATGGAGCTGGTGGAACAGTTTATTTGAATATTAATCAATTTCGATCAAATATCAGTTCTTGTTGAGTGATGTGTCTCCGAACGGAACATTTCAATGAATTAAATGGTTTGGTCGTCAGATATTTTCGTGTTACTTTTTGTTTAACGATGGCCTATCGGGCAGAATAAGTACGGTTGTACGCACATCTGGACTGGCGGTACGGGCAATATCTTTCGTTAGTTCCAATGGTTTTGAAAATGATTTCTTTGTGAATTTTGCTTATTTCAGTTTTAGATCTAATCAGGAAAAAGGAAATTACTTCATTCAAGAAGGCCTGCTCTGCTAAGCATCCCAACCTCCTAATTGGATCTCAAGGTTGTCTTTAAGTATACTTTTTAGAGTATTCTATAAAATTCAGCCTATTTTGAAAAGGCACTGAAAAAGGCTTTATTTTGCGACATATTTAAATTTTCTTAATGCAAGCGGAATTTCGCTTTCTGAATGAAGGAACATTATAAATCCTTGTGCAGCCGGTTAGGATCACTTTAAACTAATACTTTAAAAATATTAAAATTAAAATAAATTTAAAACCTGAGGGAAGGATATCCTTAAGCATCCAGCTTCGGTGTCATACCTCTCACTGCTGTTATTTTCTCGATTCGTAACTACCTAACTTACCAACCCGTCAAAAAATTTACCGACCCCTGATAAATGACTTGCAGCTTTATCAAAATTTTTTGGTCACACTAACTTGTTGAATTGTGATTGTGGATGGAAGATAAGTATCTTCCGATTTATCGAAAGAAGTTTTGAATATATGAGTAAAAAAGGGTTACAACTAAATTCGCTGAAATAGGTTACTATCGTTTTACGAACAAAGTAAACGTTTCAGAACAAGAAATCAAAATAAGCATCATCCTACCCCCGCTATTTTCAATCGATTTAATTTCTGAACTTATAATTAACAGTAAATTTTAGATGGGATGTTGATGAATAAGAATTTTATTTAACCTTTATATCAATGAGGGCGTAATTATTAGCCTTGAACGATTGGATGTGTAGTGCATCTGAATCTCAATCTTTCAAATAGTACTAGCTCTTCTAGTCAGTGTATCACAATCATTGGTTATTTGAACTTGAAGCTCAGAATTAATGGCGAAATTTTGATTTACTCGAAGAGGAAAATGGAAATATTTGTTTAGAATCTATTTCAGAAATCTTAATTTATTTTTTGAGCGGTTTAAAATACGTATTTTGATAACAGTTCATCAAATCACTTCTTTCATTCGAAATTTTTACATGGCATAACAGAACATTCCAAGAGTAATGAATTTTAATGTAAACTCTTGAGAGTAATTAACTAAGCGGAAATTTTTAATCAAGTTTCATTATGGAAATTGAATCCGGTTAATATGACATCAACTTTAGCTCTTTATCATCAATTCGTACGGTAATCAAAATCATCTTCCACTTATCGTAATTAACAGCGCATGCATCTTATATTTTGTCGTGATGTTCTGCTAACATGCACTCTTTGGTGCAAAGGAAGTACCAGGCAAGATTCATGAAACACGCCATCTTACTGCATGCATGCATGCCAAGAAGAATGGCGTAGAAGAGAGGTATTGCTGTATGTTGATTTGATGCTTTGCAATCACGTTCAAACAGAGTGAAGGGAGGGAAAATGAGTCATTGCACGAACTTTTTTTTTCAAAACAGGCATTCATTGCATAGGCTAAGGCCTTCCCTTCAGTAGGGATGACGGAATGTTTGTCATTTAGGATGGATATATATGTATGTGACACACACACACACACATACATACACACATACATACGCATACACATGCATACACACAAATGCACATATGCACGTACACACATACAGGCATGCCTTAAACCTGGACATCATCGTGGTCGTGTCATCACATTACGGGTAAGATCTAGGTGCCCTCCCGTAGGTAACGCTCATGTACATTTATAGAATTGTAGATATAGACGGACAGACGCAGAGAGGATGATAGACGGAGAGACCCCCCCCTTCTTTGCTGCCCCTCTCCCGCCGGGTCACAGATCGCATCTATAAAAGAGTGGGTTTACAACTGAATGATGATTCATTTTCTGGTGGGACGCTTCCCAAGAAGAATGTTCACCTGCTTAGTGTGGTAGTTGTCGAGATTGATTGTGACCCCATGGCTAGGCCCTTTGTGAAGCTTTGTACTTCGGCTAAGGTGCTGCTACGGTTATGAGACAACACCTTGGCTAGGTACAATGCTCAACATATCGGCTTCCTTCTCCTTCCAAGTATCATTCATTTATAATTGACCTTTGTACGGGTAAATAATAAGATTTCCTCTTTATCGTTTGTCACAAACAATCAACGGTCCAATTTCATCCTTCTTCTTATTTCCCAATAATTTTTCGCTTTCCAACTTACACCTTGTATGATATATTAAAACAACAATATCATTCATCTCTTTATATATATATATATATATATAAATGTATATTCTCAATCATTTTTAAAGTTACGCAAAAATTTCAAAAAATTGAAAGAAGATAGTGAATTAAAATATCAAAAAAAAGAAAGACCTATGAAAACATACCCATTTCCTAAAAAATTTTACTTTAAAAGTTTGGAAATTTTTTCTCATATTAAAATGTTAAAGTTTCAAATTACTAATTCTTTTATGATTTTCTGGTAGTTACTCGATATTCCTTCATTATCATCATTTTCTTATTTTTTCCCTCATAATATTTTAAAACTTAATGTTAATATACGGTTTTACGATCTTCCCTTTTGTTAGAAAATTTGCTTTGCTATAAAGAAAACTAAACAGCTATGACGAAACATCAAATTGTCGCAGTTTTCCGCACGTCTTATTATATCGGTGTGTTTGCGCTGTGTTTGTAATATATACATATATATATGTGTGGATGTGTGCATGTGTCCTACTAGAATCAACTAAATCTTTACACTTTAAAAACTTTGTCCAGGATTCATAAGTCGTTATTATTATTGCCATAAAATGTCATGCCATCATAGATTTTTCTCTATTATTTATTATTATTATTATTATTGTTGCTGATAATTTTGAAAGCAGTTCAGAATTTCTGCATTAATTATGCGAATGAAAAGAAAAAGAAAGTAAGAGAACAAAAAGACATAATGAGAATAAGAGATTAGGACTTCTTGGCCAAATGTATTATCCGAAAGAAAATGACCAATTTCAATAATATTTTAGCTTTCAAGCTAACAAAAAAAGTATTCTTCCAATGCAAAATAAGGAAAAGAAAAACAATGTCATTGATGATATCGAAAAATTATTTATGATTTAATTAATAAATTCATACTTAAATAGTACTTAATTCTCATATTGATTATTACCCTTATGATTCATTTATATTGCCCAATTTTTATTTTTATTTTTAATTGTAATAATTCTTAAAATTTTTACTTTACTTTTTAATTGTAATAATTCTTAAAATTTTATTTACTGTTCGCAGTTTTCATTATCATGAAATTAAATAGTTAATTGATTTCTTTATAAATTTATTGATAAAATTGTCAAATTAGACTATATTATCATTTGTGAATGATAATATAGTCTTATTCGAAGTGAGTAAAATATCACAAGCATTATAACTTACAAAATTAAAAATTCCCTGTTTGATTTAAGGGTGGCAAGAAAATAAAATAAGTATTATTCGATCAGTATTAATTGCTTTTTGTAATATATTGATTGTTCAATTCAATGTATACTTGTAGAGTTAAAATTATGAATATTAAGGCATTTTAGATTGGGAGAGAGAGAGAAAAAAACGAACTAAACAAAATAAGCAAGCGGAAGAGAAACTAAGTGGGAGGACAGCAGTATGACTCATCGGCACACAGTTTTATTTTTTATTTACGTTAGAAGTGCAACTTCAACAGAATAATTCACGGTTGGTTTGTTGATATTAATGCTGCTGCAATGCAGAATTAATGGACCTCCACCTATCATTTGAATATTATTCAACAGTCGGCTTGATAAAGGCTGCGCAAAATGATTAGAGAGATTGAAATAAAGATCAATTTTCCAGATGTGACTATTCCTATGCTCCTATCGATTTCCGTTAACTGAAATTAAGCAAAAAAAAAAAAAGAAATATCAAATATTAAGAATTACTGAAATAATAAATTAAATTACCAAGTTTTATCCTTGTTGAATTACCTAAGCTTCTCATTTTGTATTCTTACACTTCAGTCACTTAATGTTTTATTTATCAAACTTTAGTTTCACTGAATAAATTAATTTTTGGTCATATTGAAATGAAAAGGTATCTTATTTGGTTGCATTACATTTTTCTAAAATATTTTTAGCTAGTCCATGACAATGTATGATGGGAAAACGCTAATTTTGCCGTATTTTCAAGTTGGATTTTACTTTCAATCGCATATTTTTCACTTCCGGTAGAATTGAATCATAAAAACCAGTGGAAATGGAGTTTACTTGTTATTTGCAGAATAGAATAATATTTTGAGGCATTTAGAAGTGAGATGAAAAATATGCATGTACCCATCTAAAATATATAACAGAACTTTGTATCTATTTACTTGAAAAAAATAGAAGCTACCAGTTGAATCAAATTATGGTATTAGATTCGAACTTCAAAGCTAATTCATAATTAGTATATTGTTTTTGTCTTATGCAGTATTAATCATACGATGGAAGAAAATGACTTATTTTAAGAGTTTTGAACATCCTGCTAACGAAGTTTAATGCTTTTATAACACTATTAACTCAATCAAATTTGCTTAATGGTATTATTGATTTAAACTTAATCGATAAAATTTGAAAAAGCGTTTTCTTTGTTTAGTAATTTAAAATATTTAAATGGATTAACAGAGAGTTAGTAAAACAAAATCATTCTTCATATAACATTTTCTATTTCAACTTATTCATTCAATTCATCTTCCTCATATAAGCAGTAAATAACACAGTAACGACAGCAATGTGATTGCGTTTATAATTGAACTTCAATGTGAAATAAATTGATTAAAAAAATTTTCTGTGAATTCTAAAGATGTAAGTTGTGTAATAATAAAAATAAGAAAAGCCACTACTGTAGCAATCTTTCTTCAATAATTTAATCGGATGATTTCGAATTTAACTTTTTTGATGATATAATAAAGTGAAGTGCTAAATTAAAGTAGTTTATACTACTGATACAATTGGCAATATGGTATGCTTCATATATATATAATCAATATGAGTACTTATTATTAGTAAAGTTTCCAATCTCCATTATAGTATTGTGACAATTGCTCTTTTTGTTGTACTATGATAAATTAATAGGACTTCACAAACAATTTACAATTATTGATGATATACTCGTTGTATGGTATTCGAATTTACTAATATAAACAATTTATCTTATCCATATAACATTGAACAGTTGCTATATCATTCAAATGTATTGATTAGTTTGATAATAATATCACTAAATGGACCGAATTGCGACCAGCATTAATCAATCAACAACTTATCATTATAATCAATGATAATTTTATATAGCAAAATTTCATCACACATTTTCCCAATATCTTTTATTTTATTAGTTAATTTTTGTTTGTAATTGAGCAGAAGAAAATTGAGGAAATCACAGAGAGATAACAACATTAATGAGAAAAGAAGGAAGGGAAGAGTGATATGCGGTGGTACTATTCTCTAAATAACTCATTTATTCCTTAGTTATCAGTGGAAAGAAAAAAAACACCGATCGCCATTGTTCAGTCCATTGTGAGGATGTAGTTAAACTTAAGCCTTTTTCACTTCAACAACTATCACCGCCATCTTTTGCATCCATAACGCTGGAGAGTGTCAGAGGAAGCGGTATTAAGACAGCTTGCATCAGCAATTATTAAAGTGCTCTTAACGAGAATTCATTTGACTCTTTCAGGCACATTAACTCGTGATTCCTTAATGAATAAACAAATGAAATACTCTGAGGAGAATTACTCATACTCCTATTATTGCACCTTAGGTGACTTAGTTCTTTCTATTATATGTGTATAATAATCATTTTATTATATATATATATATATACATATATATAAGATGAATGTATGTGTATATGTGTACGTGTATATGTGTGTACGTGTATATATGTGTGTATGAATGCACGTGTGTATGTGTGTATGTACGTGTATGTATGTGTATACGTGTATATATGTGTGTATATGTGCACGTGTGTATGTGTGTACGTGTATATATATGTATATGTGTGTATGTGTGTATATGTGTTAGTGATGTAGGGACAAGCGAACGGTTGTTATCTGAAAAAAAAAAATGCATGCTAGAAGCTTAGTTGAGTGGAACACATCTCAAATATCCTATCTTATAGAAGTAATGAAGTAGGGACCATTAAATCGTGAGAATGATGTTCTTCCCGGTTGATGCTAATGGGTTGGTTCTATATAGCCTTAACAATGCTATGCTATAAGGGATGAAGGAGAAATAAGAGGGAGGAGAAAGGGGAGGAGGAGGAGGAGGAAGAGGAGGAGGAGGAGGAGTGGGAGAGGAGGACAATTCTGAATTGAAATGCGGTTAAGCAATAACAGAACGAAATGGGAGGTTTGCGGAAAAAGGAGGAAGAATAGACGGAGGAAGGAATATGAAGGATGGACATAACTCGATGGTATGCCATAGATTCAAACCGAAGCTAGCATTAGCAGCATCTAATACGTCAGATCGATCTTGTGTGGATAGAAGCCTCTAACCCACTTTGAAATCACTAGGCCAGTTATTTGTATGTTGTTCGCTTTTCCTCGTCCTTCCAGCGTAGTCCTTTTTATGGCCCATCCTTATTCTCAGTTCTTACACCCTAGGCTAGGCTAATCACTTCCTTTTTTTATCTCTCTTTTTTTTACCCGAACTTTTCACTATTATTCACAAAATAAAAATTGTTCTTTTCCTCTTTTTTTTTACTTTTAGTATTCAAAAATTGCATGTCTGTTATTTTCACAAACGATTTTATAAATTCATTTCAAACATTATTTCGTGGTACTTTGTTCTTCTCTTATGTTTTCATTGAATTCAGGCTTCGATATTAATCCTATCGAATCATTTCAAAATGACGCTTCAGTTTTCCATTCAATTGCATTTATTTTTAGCTTAAGTAAAAGGCAGTAGTTAAGTGGGTCTCTTTTTGGGCCTTTTTCTTTCATAAACTTATTTTTCTGCCTTAATTATTCAAAAATTTTGAA